CCCCCAACCTCAAATTTTTCCTGTTTTTATCTGATTTCCAATTTTGTCTTTTTTATTCCAGTGATGAAGAACCTGAATGCAATGCTCTTGGACCAGGTTCAATTGACCTATAGCTAGAAAGAGATAATGACTATGATCATTTGACTCTGTAAAAGATGTCTTTGCATACAATGCCCAAAATTTCATTGAATTCTTTTGTTGCTTTCTTGCATTGTAAACTTGAGTCTAATTTCATTTCTATTATGGCATTAAGTTTCTTTGATTTATTCCATTTTATTACTCTGTTTTCCAAATTATTTCCCTCCAGAACAGAATACAGGCCAAATCTTCAGTCCTTTCATCTAATATTTCCTTAATATTATTTCTCTGACTTCTTCTGCAGAGAAGAAGAGCCATCAGTCTATTTCTGAATCCTGTCTTTCACTTGCTGTACCACCTGGATCCCCGAGCCAGTCCTGTTATGAGGACAGCTGTGATAGATCTGTGGACATGGCAGAGATGTAATCAATTTTCTATCTCACCTACCTGGAGCCAGCCTGGGAGGAGGGAGCAAAGCTCTGACTGTGACAGCTAAAACCCGAGTTTCAGCCCTTATTTTTATCTATGAACTGAGAGTCCTTGTAGTTATATTTAATACTTAACCTATGTTTATCCTTAACCTTTGTTAATTGTTTTCTAACCAATAAATTCACTCCTGTTTGCACCTTACCTATATAATTCAATTTTGCTGTGGGAAATAAATCCCCTTACTGATAGATGTAGGACAGAGAAAATGATCCTGAGCACTGGTTCCTATGTCAAATGAAGAAAAATCAGTCAACATTTATTCATCTTTTCATATCTTAATATGTTACCGTAAATCTATACACTTTTTATGGTGCTTCAATTTTTAATCTATGTATCAGTATTTTAATCCAAGCCAATGAGTATTAATGTTGCAAGACAGAGCATTTAATCTTTTACTAAAATCCCAACCCATGTATATTACATCCATTGTATGTAGATTTACTATGCAGAGTTCAGAAGTTGTTGCTCAGTGGATGACAATGTAAATGTATTAACTTTTGAATAATGTGTCTAAGAGCTGTCAGTAAAAAAAGGACTTTTAAATTAAGTCTTTCCTCACTGATTTACTCTCTTTATATCCCTCTTGATTTTTCACTTGCAGTCTACAAACGTTTTATAGATCATGCCAGCTCTTTGTTTGAAATTCTTTGAAAACCAGCAAAGGTATTTTGACCAAGAAAACCCTTATACTTAGACCCCACACATTCTTAAAATAATCTTTGCACAAAATATGCCACCTGAGATAATACAGTAGACTTCCGATAATCCGGAACCTATGGGACCTAGGTGGTGCCGGATTATCAAATATGCCGGACTATCAGAAGGTACTATAAACTGGTTATATATATACTGTATACATTATATACTGTATATAAAGTGTTCTAACCCTTTTTATTGTACATACTGTATACAGTATACTGTAATGTTTTAGTTTTTCTAAGCCTTTTTTACACCCTTTTTGCTCAGTTCAGCTGCTGCCGCTGTTACCTTGTGACTCGTTTTTTGCCGAAGCTCATGAAAAATAGCATAACACAGTTGTACTGCATTTAGAAATCACATAGTAAGGTAATGCACTAAGCCACACAGATCACATTGCAGAACACGATGTTGAATAATATGGCATGGTAGCTTGGAGTGCTGCAGCACCTCTGGGCTCCTGGCTAACTGGAGAGCACAGGTAGTGGCTGCACAGAACTTTTCTTCTTTACTGCTCACTCTTGCTCTTTTCCTGCTGGTGTCCTCTTGCTTTCCTCCATACCTAAGCCTGTCAGCTAAACTCCTTGCCTTAAACATAATGGCTGTGTCTAGACTGGCAAGTTTTTCCGCAAAATCATCTGCTTTTGCGGAAAAACTTGCCAGCTGTTTACACTGGCCGCTTTAATTTCTGCAAAAGCACTGACGATCTCATGTAAGATTGTCAGTGCTTTTGCGGAAAAACTATGCTGCTCCCGTTCGGGCAAAAGGGCCAGTGTAGACAGCAGAGATTTCTTTTCCGCAAAAAAGCCCCGATCGCGAAAATGGCTTTTCCGGAAAAGCATCCTGCCAATCTAGATGCTCTTTTTCTAAAATGCTTTTAACGGAAAACTTTTCTGTTAAAAGCATTTGCGGGAAATCATTCCAGTCTAGATGTAGCCAATGGGTAAGCAGTCGCTTTTGCACAAAAACTTGCTGTCTACACTGGCCGCTTGAATTTGTGCAAGAGCACTGACTTTGTAATGTACAAAATCAGTGCTTCATGCGCAAATACTTTCACGCTCCCGCTCGGGAAAAAGCCCTCTTGCGCAAGAATACTTGCGCAAGAGGGCCAGTGTAGACAGGGAAGAACTGTTTTGGGCAAAAAAGCCCGGATGGCTAAAACTGCAATCGGGGCTTTCTTGCGCAAAATCATGTCTAGACTGGCTTCGGATGCACTTTTTGCGCAAAAGCATCCATGCCAATCTAGACGCGCTTTTGCAGAAATACTTTTAACGGAAAAACTTTTCCGTTAAAAGTATTTGCACAAAATCATGCCAGTCTAGACGTAGCCAATTTTTCGTCTTCTCTGATTGGTTGCTTTCTCAGTTCCAACTAAGGATCCTCTCTATTGGGTGATACCTTCTTAGACAATCAGCTTTACCTATCATTTGAGCTAAGCCTAGCTGAAAACCTCTTCACTTCTTTCTTCAGGCATTTTGGAGCAAGCTTAGCCCCATCTTGCCCTGAATTTTATGTCACCCTAATCTCCTGTATGCTATTTGTCAATTTAGTCAGAATCCTCCATCTTGACATCTCTAACGTAAAATTATGATAACCATTTGGGATTTCTAGCTATGAACTGTCATTTACTTCTTAGAAGCCTTAAACCTCAAACTACATTTCTGTGCATATTTAAGCATTATGATACTGTTACCCTCACTGTTGGGAGAAGTGATTTCTGCAATGTTTTCTAATCCTCTTTGGCTATTTACAGTTGCACGGACTGCCTGCTTTCAATAATACCGTTGTTTTCCTTGCAGAACATACCAGCTAAAAACCTCTTGTATCATTGGGAAGGGGCCCAGCCACACCATGTGACCCTACTCCAGTGATCACCAACCAGTAGATCAGCATCTACTGGAATATCTTGGAGCTTCTGACAAGTGATCCCGACTCGTTTGGCCAAGAGGCTATCAAGTCCAATCCATCTTGCAATCCAAATACCTTAATCCAAAACCAGAGCCTGCACCCCAACCCACTTCCCCTGCCTGGTGAAAGTGGATGGGGGGGGGGGGGGGGGGGGGGGGGGGGGGGGGGGGAG